AATCTGTGTCTTGACACATCACTAGACCTGCCGTTTGCAGGACAAAAGCATCTGAATCGAGCTTGGCAGGGTCTCACGGTTGTATGCTGGGCATACTACGAATAAAGGGCATAGTAAGTTTCACATCGCCTAGGTGGTGTAGTAGTGATGCTAGGGGCTGCCTATGTTCGAGCACAGGTTTTCGCAGCTGTGAGAAAGACTTGACTCACCATATGATGAAGTCCAGTTTGCATATCACGCATTGGTATGCGGTAGAAACTGGGTTAACCAAGCCCACGCTTTTATGCTGCGGGCTAAAAGATGCACAACCTACAAAGGTGCGGACACGTAAGAGACAAGTGTTTCTACGAGAGTTTCCTACATGATATCGGTAAACACTGAGCAGGTAGTTCGGGTCACTGCATGACCGCTAACTTACATGGATAGCGAAAACCGTGAGGCTGACATAGGCTCTGGTATAAGCGATCCTTATCACCTCTACCCACAAAAATGCTGTGCGCGACTCGACGGCTTGCAAAGGGCGTTTGAAGTGAGAATGATCGTAAAACGACCCGCATCCAGGGCCTAAACGAACGCGCAAATACCCGCATCGTTGGGCGTCTGCCGGTCTGGTGCTCGTCCCGATAAGGCAATTGAGAACTTAGGCCGTTCCGGTCACCACAATGTCCATGATTCCCCAGACACGGCGCATGCGTTGTGATCAGGAGATATTTTTAAGATGGTCTCTTCACTAAATTTCATAGGTACAACGTGCATCTACTCCTTGATACCCAACAAAGCAAGGAGGTCCATATAGAGGTGTACGGCTTTACCATCTATACGGCGGCTTCCCTTGAACGAGATCGTCGCATGCTCTGCTTCCTCCGGGTTAGTTCCACCAGGGTGGGAAATTTTTCTATCACAAACAATTCCATCAAGAGGTCGAAAGGGGGCATGTAGGAAACAAGCTCACCGGATATTGGCACGGGTTGCATCCGGGCAATGCTCCGCGGCGTACTCTCTGGCTCGCTGATCATGAATCTCCCGTGCTTTTTCCCCGCACCCCGGATACATGCGTTCCAAATCCTCCAGTTGTTTCTTAGATGGTGCTGTGAAGTGGACGTTGAGGTCAGTATGAGGTGGCCTGCGATCGATCCATGTCAAACGAAATTGTGCCACTCAGGCCTGAGAACACTTACGCCCTGGTCTTCCGCTGAGAGCCACCGCCCTGTGCATTGTCGTTCTCCGGGTTTTCCTGTGTCCTAAACAACAGATAAAGTCACTAGACATTCCTAAGGGATGATATCTCCAGTAACTTACAGCTTGGCACCGTCGCGCACAGTGCTCCCCGAAGTCTCTGCAGGCAGGTCTTTCCTGTGTGCCTGTCCTCTACTAGTATCGCCCTTGCGCTCGGATGGATCCATGTGTGGCTGGGGAGCAGCGTATCAGATGTTTGTCCCCTAGGAAGCGTAAAAAAATCACATACGGCGAGGTTTCGAGAGTGCGGTGGTCGCTACCTCAAGGACATGATCTCTCGCGAGTTATAAACTTGCATCTTCTAGAGTACCACAGTCGATACGTGTGATTCCTTGATACGCATGCCTGCTGAACGAGCGTCCTAGGAAGAGGTACGTGAGAAGCCAAAATTCGTCTGCCATAGCGATCGATTCCTGAAGCTAGTTGTGACGGCATCTACTGTCAGCTCTCACGTGTGAGATGAGCACGAAGTCGACTGACCCTGCGCATCTCATGTTTACCATGAGGTTGTGTGGCGCTGTCAAAGCAGGTTCCTGGTGTCAAATCCGTGAGAGGATGTTCTTGTAGCGTAGTAACAAAGTTCAGCCTAGATCGGCTGAGGCTACAGCAACGTCGTACATGGAACAGTGAAAATATTCTGAATTAGTGGAACGCAGTATACTAGTAGGACCAATGTACCGCGCGCCACGCCTACTCGAGTGAGCATTTGCATCAACAGTCGCGATGGAAATCTCAAGCCTACCTCAGATAGACAGCAGAATATGCTCTATGCGGGCGTATAGTATTGACACACTGCCAATGGTGGCTGCGCATAGACGCCCAATGACTGAACCCGCGTCGTTGATATCTCGCGGCTGACAATGCGGCCAGCTGTCCTGCTGTCAAGATTTTTTGCGAGAAAACAAAATTGTCTACTCACCTGGATTTCTTAACGTCAGCGCACTAATCAACTGAAGCCACATTGGACCGGAAACTTAGAGAACATGCAATTCTGAGAGACTGGGCTTGGAATTTGCTAGAGCGACTCACATGTGCGTACAATGCCGCAACTAGACATGAGGACTGGTATCAATTGACTCCTGACCGGCGTTATGAAGCTTTAATATCCGCGATGCAGACGGATCATTGACCATAAGGTGGTAGTAGCCATCTTCACACCATAAATTACGGACCAAGCCGTAACAGCAGTGTGGTCCGCAACAGAAGAAGTGCTTGCGAACCGTCCTAGATCGCATACGGAACCCAGTACTCCGGAGCTCCCGCTGACTGAGCACAGTGGGAAACCACAAAGAAGCACACAAGCACCGGCTGGAAGCTCATGAAGCTGGCGTTCCTTACGGTGCTAAGTAAGAGGCACTCAAAATCAGAAAGCACAAGAACAGGCGGTATTGGAAGCGAAGGCGTACCAATGGGCTACAAAGACGATACCTCAACAGTCGTAGCCTACCTTACAGGCCACATTCCATTCATAGTATCAACCTAGGAGCTACTGTCCTCGATGCTCGATTTATTGCGGCTCAATGCGATGCAGTTGTGGAGCCCTGATATCCAGCAAGCGTGCCGCACTCATTTCTTTTCGCTGCGGGTGGCGAAGTAGTGGGAAAATGTGAGCTTCTACAAGGCTGCAGAACGAGAGTGCTGTTCTGGTGGGGGGCCGGCCGAAGCTTCGGCCTGGCTGTGGGGCAGATCATCCCAAAGCTAGCTAAGAACCGCAAGTGGACTGAGTTAGCATTTCACCACAGGGCTGATACGCACTTCGAGATATCGGGCTCAAGTGGAGACAGAAAAGGGGAGTTAACCTTCCTAAATGCTAGTACAAATATGCTGCACAGCACTGCGGTTGAAATGAGACTTTGCGGACTGAGAGATTGGCAGACGCACTGGAAATCGATGTTTTTGGGGATATCTCACGGCATGCGTGGTTTCCTGCACTTCGACACGATGCAACGAAACGCCAGCTCGTGTTCGTAGAGTCAGAGCGAAGAATTTGTATGCTTAACCCCGCTTTTGACAGGCAGAAGGATAGTTACGTAATAAATTATTATCGGAACAGAAGTCAAAGTTGACATCAGACTCGACATGAACTCGGACGCTCGCTCTTATATAAACTCGGTTGTGTGCGAAGGCGTCAACTATGATGGCCTCCCTCGTCCCCTACATACCCTTGCTGTCGCGTTTCCTCGCGTTTTTTGGTTGGGAAACCGATCCCGAAGTTCTTCCAGACTACTACCCCGCACGTCGGCATGAGAAGCTGAAAAAGCGATATCGTGCCGAGACGAGATTAGGAGCCGGCGTGTGGTCCAATACGTGGCTGGTGAGCGACACAGCTGCATCGTAAAAGCACGTACTTTTTTCTCCTGATTATGTACTGACATTTCTCCCGTGCAGAAAAAGCAGGCGATTCTACGCAATAAAGATCCTTACCCTCGATGCGACCAACGAGCATCGTGCGGGGATAATGCTCGAGCTCGAAGCTATGAAGAAAGTTCGAGACGGTGGACCAACGGGCCACCTGCCCTCACTCATTGACGACTTCGAGATCCCACGTCCACGAGGAAACTTCCACATCTGCTTGGTTATGGAAGTATATGGCCAGGACGTCGCTACTTTCCGCCGCAGCTCCCCTAACAAAGCGCTTCCTGTGCACACGGTAAAAGTCATCATCAAGCAGGTCCTCCAGGGTGTTGTACGCTTGCATGAACTGGGCATCGTCCATACAGGTACGCTGTGATGCATTCTGCTTATGGACTGTCGACTCACGAAACGTAGATATAAAGCCAGACAACATGCTCTTCCACACCGAGATGAGCCCGGGAGCTATTGAGAAGTGGCTTGGAACGCTTCCCGCAGATCCAGGTGACACTTGCTACCCGCTGCCCGCCGATTTCAAGTGGGACGATCCTCCAGAAAGGGTGAAGGACATGAAGATTACGCTGACAGACCTCGGTCAATGTAAGAACGTGCATTTGCACTACTAAATTCGCATTCGCTAATAATCGAAGCAGCCCAGCATGTCGGGCCGGTTGGCGAGCAGACAGCGAAACAGTTCAGTGCCTACTCCCTCCGCGCACCTGAAGTCATTCTCCGCTCTGACTTCGGAACTGCTATCGATATCTGGGCGATAGGGTGCATCGTGAGTTGTTTGTCCCCCTTTCGTTGCGCATATACTCACGCTATCTGCGCCGCTTCCGTCACAGGTCTTCGAGATGGTCTCTGGTAGATGGCTCTTTCACCCTGAGAGTGGAGACGAGGACTTCAGTTTGGAGGATGACCACCTGGCGAAGATGATGGAGCTTACCGGGGAGCGCTTCAGCTCCGCAATGCTCCAACGTGCACAACTTGCCCAGGAATATTTTGACTCGCGCGGTATGTCATCCCTTCGCTGGCCCGTGCGCAACTCTAACTCAAGAACTTCTCATCCAGGCGACCTCCTTCGAGTTTCAGAATTGTATCGCGTTGAAGTTGGACATGCGCTTGCTAACTACAAGACGATTCCCGAGGATCAGCTCGGCCCTGTAGCAAGCTTTATTCAGGGATGTATCCACTTGGAGCCCGCTGACCGCCCAAGTGCAGTCGCGCTTCTGAACCACCCCTGGCTGCAAGACATGTAAATGCTATTTGTCCCCGCCAGTCGAGGCGGGCCTCGGGCCTAACGCGGCTGGTGCGGGGAAAGCGCCTAACTTGGTCCGCAAACAATTTGGTGGGTGCGCTGTTTGTTTGTCTCATATAGGCTCATCTATCTCTCTGCGTAGCGTTTGAGTTCATAATCACGACAGCCCCACTGAACTATCTGAAATGTGCAGCCGCACGTCATGCCACTCCACTTCGGTATACTGGGGTGTCCCTGCACCGCACGGCTTGATGATCACAGCACACCCTCCACATCGCATCGAAGCAGTTTCAGCAGCTCAGCCCCTCTCATGCTCATGTGGCGTCGTGTGTAATAGTACGCTATCAGATTTCCCGCACAGGTTCTGCTCAAAGTCTGTCCAGTCCGTGTTGCAAGACGCGTCAAATCACTTATCGTGACCAAGCTTCCCGGTGTAGTGTGCTGTCCATTCCAGTGTTCCGCTGCCAGGGAATTGCTTACTCGGAAAGGACATAAGCAGCATCTCCGTCTAAGCTCAAAGTTCGATATATAGCCTACATCAGCCCGAGGACCCTTGGCGTCCCGCTGTGGCAGGTAACTCACTTCAGTCACCTTTCCTAGGAATTGCTAGGATCAATAGACAGCTTTCATTTGTCAAGAGCACAGCCATCTCTGTACCCAAAGATCGCAGTTGTCGCGTTACACCAGAACCGCCTGCCGCTTCCTTGAGGTGGGTCTTCTCAGCCTTCTTCGGCACCAGCCGGCTTCGATGGAATTCGTGAGGTGCACGCGTAGTTGCAGGAAGGTAAGGTAGAACTCCCAGCTCTACCGTGGTTGAGGGCGTCCTGAAGCTCGGGTGGAATACTTCGTCGTGGAATGGCTCGGACATGCGACCACTTGATTAATTCAAACTGTACCAAAAGATGCCAAGGGTCCCAGCTTCAGCCTCGGGGAAAACAAGTTCATTCTGGGACAGAGATAATCAGTAATGCCATTGGCCTTCAGGATAACTAAGTCGGGAGCTAGACGCATGACGCCATCAAGTAGGGAATGTTGAGAACACAGGGTGTGAACTCCCTCACGCTTTGCCACCTAGGACAATGCTAGCGACTGAGCAGCTGGCAGGAAGTATCAGACACGAAGGTTTCGCGCGACAGAGGTGTGACAACGGACGATGTGAAATGACATCTGGAAGTGCGGAAATTGGCGGCGGCTGACGTTTTCAATAACTTAAGTCATGTCCATCCATCGACAGCGATTACATAATTAGTGAATAGAGACGAACAGAAGTGTCCCGACTTTCGTGAACAAAAATGCCGAGGAGGCTGTGGATGTCAAAGACTATGCGAATGCCATATCCGAATGGCGATGGATAACCAGTGCCCTCTGGGCTGTGTCCTGGACGTCCTGATTACATAACAGCAAAGCAATAACTGGCCGCCAACATGTTCAACGCCTGGCAGGTCTACATATTCCCCTTCCTTTCCAGTACGAGCCTCATGCCCGTTCCGCTGCAGGCCATCCCGAAGAAGGTCATCGATGTCAATGTTCCGCCATGAAGCGGCCAGCATCGTCGAGAATTAACCACATCACCGTAGCCTATCGAGATCACCTACCCAGCCATTTCCGAGGCCTCGCTGGTAAATGTGTAGATCTAAAATTACAGGACCATAGTATGATAGTGAGCAGCTGACAGGGTACGGCAGTGCGCGGGTTACTAGCTGTATGTGTCACGGAAATCGCATAAAGGCTGAGGAGTCTAAGGCGCATATTCTGAATTACCGTGTCAGTAGGCAGGATCGGCAACGCCTGGACTTAACTTACGTAAGGTCATACTAGTAGAGGGCTCGTTTAATGACCACGCGCCGCGCGTATGCTTCCTAGTACACCGGAAATCTTTATCAGGAATTTAAGTCTGTAAACGGAAACAGTCAGTCAAGGACGTTATGCATCTGCACTGCACATCTGGCAGTGCCCTTGCCATTGGACATTAGGTGATCGGAACTCGCATTGATGATGCGCCTCATACAACAAGTGGTCGCCGGGTACGTCACGATGAAGACTCACACTGCCGCCGGTGCAGTCGTAATCCGGTTTTCACGAACTCTTCTTGAGTTGCTAATGACGTTTCAAAGTTTGTCGGAACCGAGGACGCGGAACTCCATGCGTATCTCCGTCCGCCGCACCCTCGACAAACGCCGAAATGGCAGCGAAGCCTGACACCGGTGTATTCGCGACGCACAGACGCCGCCGTGAACCGTGATTCGTCTGTCA